TAAACTGCTCTAGCTCTCCATCCATATTGTATCTTTTTAATCCTGCAAAACCCTGAATTTAGTTAGGGAGTTCGACATTTTTCTGTCTCAATGTTTATCACATTGCTAGTTTACTCTCTGTCTTCCCCCATTTGACTTATGTTCCCTCAAGGCAAGGACTATGTCTTATTCACAATAATAACAATAAACAGAGTCTGTAATTTGGAATCCCCAAGGCGTAGTAGCAGTTGTGGTGTGGTATTGGTAGGATAAGCAGTGTACTAATAACCACAGGGTCAGCAGTTCAAACCCACCAGTCACTCCTCAGAAACCCTACAAAAGGTAACCATGAGTCAGAGCTGATTAACCAGCACTTAACAACAACAACAATTAAGGCAAAACAGGCAGTGAAAGTTAGTAAGTGAATCTAGCCTTAAAGAATCCAGAAACCATAATTATGTAAGACTTTTTCATCACAAAATAAACTAACTTGTAATAATGAAAACATACTTAGTAATACTGGTTTTTCTTACTTTTTAAATTCCCATTACTATAAAATATTACAAAATATATTTATTTTAAACTGAAAATGGAGCTGAATACGATTTTTCATCTTACTTTTCCTTAAGATGTTTCTTTTAATAAGACTTAGAATCAATATCCCTTGATATTATTGTTTATTTTAAGTGACATCAAGTGGGTTCCGCCTTACAGCAACCCTGTTTAGGATTTCTTAGGAGTGTTTGGTGGGTTTGAACTACCAATCTTGCAGGGTTTAACAGACTGGCATTTACCTTCCAATGCCACACCAGGACTCCTTGATATGATTATTGTTGTTGTTTTAAGTGCCAGTTGAGTTGGTTCCAACTCATACAGACCCTGTATAGGGTTTCCAAGGAGCAGCTAGGGAGTTTGAACCACCAATCTTATGTTTCAAACCAATCTTGCGGTCGAGTGCTTATCCTACAGCACCATACCAGGACTCCAATATTACTATTAGGAGTACTGGCATGGCGCTGTGGGTTGATGCACTGGACTGCTAGTTAAGTTTGAACCACAATGTCGATGATTCAAATTCACCAGCTGCTCCTTGGAAATCCTATACAGGGTAACTATGAGTTGGAACTGACTCAACAGCACTTAACAACAACTTAACAATACTTAAAATGTAGGAGTCCTGATGTGGCACTGTAGGATAAGCACTGGACTGCTAACCACAAGGTCAGTGGTTCAAACCCACCAGATGCTCCTCAGAAACCCTACACAGGGTAGCTATGAATTGGAACTGACTCCATGGCACTTAACAACAACAACATACTTTAAACGTAGTATTTGTTGTGGTGTGCCTTCAAGCTAATCCTGACTCATAGCAATCCTAAAGGACAGAGTAGGGTTGACCCATATGATTTCTCAGGCTGAAGTCTTTATGGGACATCATGTCTTGTCTCCCCCAAGGTCTCTGGTGGGTTCAAACTGTCACGTAGCTGCCTCAGTTAGCAGTTAAGCACTTAACCATTGTAATACCAGGGTGCCTTTAAAATGTATTTAGCATTGTACATATATATCAAAGGTATCTTGGAAACCAGTAATAAAAATAGGATGAGTTATTTAAAAGTATAAAGAAAAGATACTTACTGAATTCCAAAATCTAGGACTGATGGCTGAAAATGCAAGCCTTTTCCACTAAATAATTTGTCTGAGAAGCTACAAAAGAAAAGAAGAAAGAAAATTACTTTGGGTGTAGTTTTAAATTTGGGAGTTAAGACAATATATGGCTCTCAATGCTTGAGATGCAATGTTACTCCTTTACAGATAAGTTTGAACTCGCTTTCAAATGTTCAAATTGAATTCTCAGAAGTCGAGTATAATTTGAGTTACAAGATTTAAGATCCTCTTTAGGTTATATATAGTTAGCATAACTTCATATCAAATGTACATATTGTATAACCATCTAAACAGAAATGGGGATGTATTTAATTTTCAATGGGTTGCATTTTGGGATGATTTCAGATATGACAATTTTCACAAAATCTAAATCAAAGAGAGGCATTCAATTAATACTGAATCTTAAAATACCATTGTTGTATTTTTAAGAATAACAATCACATAAAATCTCACACAGGAAGATATAGTTTCCTTTTCCTTCGGAATCTAAAGTCACAAATCAACACATCATAAAAACAGACAGAAAGAAGGAAAGAAAAACTTAAAGTACGTACAAAAAGAAAAATCATACTAAAAACACAACAAAATATATATAAACACACTGAAAGAAAACACAAAACGTATGTTCTTGTTAAGTGTCATTAAATCAGTTCCAACACCCAACAACTGTGTATTGGGTTTCTGGGGAGCGACTGGTGGTTTTGAAACACTGATCTTGTGGTTAGCAGTTCAGTGTTTATCCAACAGTGCCACACCAGGAAACTACCAAATATTGCGGTGCTTTAAAAGCCGTAAACTTTTCAAAAACTGTTTAACTGGAAGAAATGAACTCCTAAATTCAACTTTTCCATTTTCCCCTGACCACTAACACTTAACCAAATCTGGTTCACAGGAGGTTCCACAGGTAAACATTTGAGTTGCACACCTACGAGTCACTAAGAAGCTTTGTGACCTTCAACAAGTCCCTCTCTAAGGTCCCAATTTTGTTACTTGATGGTAAAAATAATGCACCTTCTTCAATACAAAATTCTTCAAGGTACAAAGCCCATTCCAAAGTTATCTCACAGAAAGAATTTTCGCTGCAATCTTTTCTTCTTCTCTCTACTTTTCTGCCTCCATCCTCTATTCTCTTTCCTAAAAATCCTTTCTCCATTATCTCCCATCCATATCTCCTTTATTCTTTCTCCAAAACTAGCTTCATTAGTCTGCCTAACCTCAGTTCCTACCTGCCTAGCTCCTGTCAATGCCTGCACTCATTGTGAGCCTGAATGAAGAGGAAGTATGGTATTTACGAGATTCCCTCAAACCTCAAAAGGCCATGACTGATTCCAGGATGTGCTTTGCAAAGCCACTAATACATCCCAATGCCTCCAGAGACAATGTGAACAGCCAGTTGAGGCTTCAGATGCAAAGACAGTTCCAACAATAGTCATATCTACCCCAGCTCCCCCACTCCAGAACGAGACGGCCAAGCTTCTGCCTGTCAGAAGAAATAGAAAGCAAGCAACTTCACGTACCAAAAACTACCTTGTAATAAGTTAGGCTACTGCAGAAGTAATAAATAAAATAGCTAATAGCAGTCTCCTTCCTGTCTATGCACAGAAAAGTGAATTTAGCATAAGATTGTATATGTGGTTTTTGAATGAATAGATGAGGCTCGGAGTGTTTAATTTGCTGAAGGTCACATAGCTACTAAGTGGCAGAGCCAAAATTCCTATCCCTATCTGCCAAAGTCAGAAATGTGAACCTGCCATCACTTTCAGGGAGGGTACTGCATGACCTAGCCGAGAAATCAGTGCAGTCTAGCCTGTAAGGGCCAGGGCTTCAGCTTCAAGGTCCACATAGACAAAGGAGGACACGAAACAGCTCTACGTTATCAGTCTTTTTGTCTGTAAAATGGAGACAAGAACAGTATCTACCTGGGTAGCTGTCATGAGGATAAAATGAGATAATGCCTGTGCTTCATGCACAATAAACACTAGTTCATATTACAAAGCGGATGATACTCATCTAACAAGAAAAGCAATGCGATCAGATGGGGAAGCCAGTTAAGTTTAGTGTCAGTTAACCTCTAGACTTTAAAGTCCCAAATGGGGACACTGTTATCTGTAAACTGGAAAGTGAAATAGGAAACCCAGATCTTCTCATTATATTATAACAGAGATTTTAAAATGTCACAATCAGGAATTTTTTACATATCCAATGAAAATCAGACAGCTTAGGACCAACCAAAAGTAACACTGTGGGAATTGTCAGAATTTCTCTACCGTCAAAGGAAATTCTACTTTGACCCAACAATGGAGAAATAAAACCATCTCCAATATTTCCCCCCCTAAAAGTCACAGAACAAATTCATTTTTTTAATCTCAGTTTCAGCTCACTTTGTAATTTGGAAAAATAAATCAAGTTATGAAAGTTGTTGTGTGTTTTTTTAATTTTCTATATATAAAACCAAGAAACAACATTTGGAAAAGTGACTGGTACACTGGAAATGATAAGCCCTTGGTCTAGGTCCCAGCTATGATACAGGCTTCCCATGTGACATAGGAATTGTTTCCCTTCAGCAAATGAAAAGTTGGGCTGGATGATTCCAAGATTCTTGGAAAAGCACTTGGATGCCCAGACTCTATTCCTAAGAAAATTAAATCTATCTGCTGATATCAGGCACACCCTTTAAATATCAGTTCAATAACTACTGAAAATGAAAATTATCCATAACCAACTATTATGACTGTTCGCAAATGTTATCTGACCCAAATACATCATTTCAAATCCAATGTTCTTTCTCTCCAGAAGGAGCAATATGGCCCATGACTGAGAATGGTCTCCCAGTTCTCAGGGACACAGGCTGAGCTGTCTCCAGGCAGGTAGCCAGGTCAGCAAAGACAATCCCAAGTAGAGTGGGATGAGACTCATATTTCAACAGGCAAAACCCAAAGAAAGAAACTCAAAAGTTGAAAGAAAGAAGAGGAGAAACCTATCTGAAAAAAAGTCAGAGAAGACTTCCATCGGTGGAGGGTCTCTCAGATGTGCCTCAAAAAAAAAGGTCAGCATGTGTGGAAACTAAATGAAGAACACATTGAAGCAGAGCAAAAAGCAGAGGCAGAGCCTTAGCAGAGGGAAGGTCACATTTGGAGAACACAGTTTGAGCAAAGGAAAAGCATACTAGACAGTTAGCCTTTTGGCTCTGAGCCTAAGAATGAAGAGCATAAAGCAAGAGAGGTTGAGGGTGAGCAGTGAGGAAAGGAAAGAGCAGAAATGAGGACAGCTATCTTCACTGAAAGCTTTATGAGACTGAGAACAGTGGAAGAGAGGGAAAACCAGCAGACACTGGCCAACAACCCAGAAGACAGGCCTACTGTCCTGCAGAGCTGTGCTAGTCCTTACCCAGAAAGGTTGGATTTGGGGAACGCTGCAATCAATGTTTCAGAAAAAGGCCTTTCCAACAATGACTGACTACAGAAACACTGGTGGACTCACAAAGCTAAGCGGTTAGCTCCTAACACAAAGATTGGCAGTTCAAACCCCGAACTCAGAAGCTCTATGGGAAGAGGACCTGATGGTCTGCTTCTATAGAGCTTACAGCCAAGAAAACCCTACAGAGCAGGTGTCTGCCACCCAATCTTGCTATGAGTCAGAATCAACTGGAGCATCCAACAATAGTGACTGTTGACGAGAAGATGCGTAGAACATGGCAGTTTTCCACATATCTAAATGGGCTGGGTTTTCATAGAAGAATATGTCTTCTCGAAACCCCAACATCTACAGTTAGTTGATGCCTAGTTAGTTGCCTAGTTAGTTATGCAAACTCTAGACCCCCAATGAGATGGACCAGCCAGGTGGCATCATTGATGGCATCAAGTGTGGCTGTGGTAGTGAGGTTGGCTCAGGATGATACTGTTTCGTTCTGCTGTGCATAGGGTCCGCTATGAGTCGGTTCCAACTCGATGGCACCTGACAACAACAACAACAAATCTGGAAAGAGCAGCAGGTGTTTAAAAATACAACAACAACAACAAATTCTTTAAGGTTGTAACAAATAGCCTTATCCTCTAGGTGAGGGTTAAAAAGACTTCATGGACAAGAGGAAAGGTTACCTACTAGTGTCACCCTCTGCCTCACAAAGGTCACAAAATAATGGTAGTATCTAGACGCTGAAGTACTCAAAGAAAGACACGCTATGATTACTTACGGACTGCACAAATTTAGTCAGAAGAAAGCAATAGCCTATTCAGATCCCAAGGATGGAAACACTCTAAGAGAGTTGCAGATTCCATGAAGGTAGGGATTTATGTGTCATTCCCCGTTGTTCGCTTTCTTCTAAAAAGTGTGTCCAATAGAATGCTTAGTCATTTACCATATTCCTCTGAGCAGGAAATGGATATTTCTAGGACTCAGCAGATATCCCCAGGGACAAGAGAGGAATTTAGAACTTTTCCATTATGCAATTAGAACTCAAATCAATCCCTGTACAAATATAAAAAGCCCAGCCTGGGGCAACCCTTCCTGATGCTGCCCAGTGGTTAGACTGATCTTAACACGGGATGGCCCTCCTATGGGCTGGAATTCAGAGGCAACCCCTATGCTGCCATAGATAGTCCCCTGAGTCACAGCAAGCCTTCATCTGAAAAACAAATGGCTTGTGCTACATGATTTATAAAAGTTATGTAACTACATAAACTATACAATTCTAACTCCTCATCTTGGTGTGCATTGTACTACATTAAAAAAAAATTTTTTTAAGTCTTAATTTAAGAAGAAGAAGAAAAAATTTTTTCCTCAAAAAGTTTGATATAAAATATGAAATACCTAAGCACTTCTATTTAAGGTGAAATTGCCATTCTTCCTAATAAATTTACTACTTGCAAAGAACCATTTAAAATAGAGGAGGAAACAAATGCCCCCCACCCCCCAATTAAAATCCCACAGAGGAAAAAATAGTCATTTGGTAGAACATTGTGTTTTTGCAGTTTCTTCCACTGGAGAAAGCTTCAGGCTTCAAGATCAACGCATCAGTTAAAGTGGGAGAGGGATGAATG